CCGCTTAGAGTTGTACTGTTTAACTAGTTCGCCGAATCGCAGGTCGCTGGAAAAGCGGCCGGGATGGCTTACAAGCAGCTAACCCGCTTTGTGTGTGCAGGCGGTGGTACTTTGGACGAACCCACCACGGCGGCCTTGTTAACATTACGGGGCCGGGTGAACTTTGGTTCGCCGCGCTGCATCAACACCAACACGTTGAACACACTGCATATCTACGTCGACGCGTCGTGTGAAGGCGACAAAGTCGGCTTGGGCGGAGTGCTTATCAACGAACAGGGCACACGTCTTGGATACTTCAGCGAGTTCGCTTCGGAGAGTGTGATCTCGAAGGTCAATCCTGCAAGTGGAAACCCGATCTTTGAATTTGAGTGCCTGGCGATCTATGCTGCATTTCACCTATGGCAGAATCTTGCTTGCGGAACGAATACCGTCGTCTTCACCGACAACGAGGGAGCGTTGGCTTGCATGATCAATGGCACTTCGGGCAACGCTTATGGTGCAATGATTGTTCACGATCTCTGCGACGCCAGCTTCTTGAACCTTTGGTTCGAACGTGTAAACACAAGCTCCAACATTGCCGATGACCCCTCGCGGGGGGTGTGCAATGCAGATCTTGGCAAGCGCTTCGAAGTGTCCCTTGATGTAGTGGTCGACTTAGCTTTGAGACGTGGGGATGAGTGAGCAAAGCATGACGACCACATGCTCTCATGGATGCATGCTTTGGCATGCCCCGTTCAAGAACGTATGCATTGGCATGCGACGTTGTATGCTGATGCATTCAACACTTTCCCTCGTCATGCAATGGCATGCGAGCTGCTCATACGAATTCGCCCCGCGTCTAGTGTAATGAAAAAGAGTGAATGCGTCTCGCAAGGGTTGAGCTGTTGATTGCACTCTTTTTGATGATTCGAATTATATGGAAATAGATTTATACCGATTGAACGTTTGGTGCCAAGCACCGAGTATTATGTGACTGACAAGTTGTACTTTGATTGATTCTTTCTTTGAACGGAATCAATCGGGTCAGTTTTTATGAAAAGACTTTTCGCATGGTACACATGACAGAAATAAGATGTTCGAAAACGCATCTGTGGGATCTCGCCGGGTGGAGTTTAACTTCTGGACAGGCGCATGTCATGTAACACGTGGCTCCACAGGTCAGAAGTAGTTATAGAAGCGGGTTAGCCGAGCACCGTTCCTCGGCAGCAGGAGGCGGGAGCGGGATCTTCAAAGGGGGCGAGCCGGGAGGGACTCTGTTTCCAAGCTCGGATGAGGCTTCGAGCTCCATGGCGGAGGAGTTCGCGAAATTCAAGCGGTTCGAATACCGCACTTCGCTCTGCAGCAAGAGTGTGTTTGTTGTTCGGGGACACAGTGTGGGAATGGCCTAAGGCACGAACTCCAACTTGGTGTCCGCCCCAGAATGCCAGAATGCTTATTTCAGACACGAGCCAGCGTCGAGCATGCCACGCATAAAACAGACCCTTCACTTCGTGGCGGAGTTGCGGAGAAGAACAGAGAGATTTGCTGAGACAAAAAGCGACCTGAAGCACTGACCTTGCAGTCCGTCAACCAGTGAGGTGTTGCAGCGAGAAGGTGCGGCTCCGTCACAGAATGAGCCCACAGGCAGGCCTTGCCGAAGCGGAGGGTTCGCTGATTCGGCAGCTTGAACAATCTTGATGTCGAGACTGGGTTCTGCTCTGGTCAGCACTACCTGATTCAAGAGGTGAGCCGGAATCCTTGCGCGGCCGGGTTTACCAGAAGCCGCTACCTCAGTTTTTCTTGGCTCGATGCCGCACAAGGAGTAAACGTATCTTCTGAAAGCCGATCGTGGCATCAGGATGGGCGACCTGGTGCAGTACGACAAGCCCAAGGACATAAAAACAAGCACGCACACCTACATACACCCAGAGACACACACACACAGAGACAATGGAGTGTTGTGACACTGTGATTTTGCAGAGGTTCTCGGAGTTGACCGTGTTCCTTTAATCCTTTCTTTCAAAAAGATTGCCGAGCTTCGAGCACTTTGCTCTTCTGGTCAGGAGATTGAGGAGTTCAAGGAGAAAAAGAAGAAACGACAAGAGGCCGGATCCGACTTGCAGGTCCTGCGCTTTTCTTTCTGACCTGATAGCCGTGTGCGACATGACTGCCCGGTCCCTTCTCCTTCTGGCAGGAAAAGCGAAAAGAAGAGGATGTAGTGTCCAAGAAGGCTCTCGTCTTCATTGTTGTGTGTGTTTGGGCCGCTCTACGATCCTAGGGCAGGGGTACCGGGATTGCGGCATCGCAGGCAAAGATGGACATCAACAAGGGAGAGACGGTGCTCAGTACAGCATGGAGCTCAGCGGCGGCTGAAGGGATGTGTGGAGCAGAACGGAGCGGAGTGATGAACACTGAGGACGTGACTGAAATGCAGATCTACCGTCCCCGAACCGCCCAGACGAAAGCGGTCTACGAAATGCTGCTCAACCGTGACTCTCTGAGCCTTCAAAGTGGCTTGTCGAAGATTCGAAGATTCAGAAGGACAAAAGTGCCATGCTGCAGGTCTTCAGCAGCCCCTGGGAGATCAGGCGGGGTGATCTAAGCGCCCGCATTGCGAAACGGTGCCCCCGACATCGTTCAGCATCCGAAACTCTGCAACACCATGTCCCACTAGATGTGATGAGAATCGCTGCGCGGAGCTCCATAGTAGAAGTGCGTCAGCGGAGGCGCCGGACGTTCTGCGAGGTGCAGCGGACGAGGTCGGATTCAGACCAGTCTGTGTTCGGCACCGCATGTCTGACGAGGAGCTTCCAGCAAGAGCAACAGTTTTTATTTCCAAGCGGTTTGGACAAGGTGCTGGCTGCCATTAAGACGGAGGGTGTCCTGGACTCTGAGCGCAAGAAGGACCGTTTACAAGTGGGTAAAGCCTTTGAGGCTGCACCCAGAAGGACAATGCAGAGCCATTCACCTGGATTGAAGGACGTGGAGGAAGTGCTCGGTTCCATCACGGACGAGTACTTCGCGGAGCTCTTCAGGCAACCGGGTTGGGCATCCGCGACAGGCCATCTCGTCTTGCAAGCACCCCATGCCCCCCCTCTAGAGGCTTGCAAAGCAGATCACTGACTTCGGCGCAGATGTCGAAGACGAAGAGCAGGACTCCGTGGCCATCGGCGTATTCTGATAAGAGTTTCTTTGGTTTTTTCTAGGGTGTTGCTTCAAGGGCAAAAGGATTTAGAACTTGAGCTATAGTGCTCCTGACAGCTGATTGAAGCTTCTTATCTTGCCTCTGCTGTATAAGCGTCTGAGACCATTGCTCTGTGGTGCAGGACGACACTGTGCGAACGAAAGAGGGCTTGGACGATGCCGCTGGCGTTGCTGTCGTCTTCGACGAAGACGACGAGGACGAGGCGCTTTCGCCGTGTCTACCTGACGAGACCGAAGTCGAAGCGCCGTCTTCTTTTCTTTGCCAGGGAGCCGACTACATCCACGAGCTCGGAGACGACGACGAGGATGACGATGACGACGAGGGCGGCAAAATGGACGATGACAGGCAGCCCAGGGCTGCGTGCTCTCTCTGGACGTGAACTAGTTCCTTCCCCATCCAACCATCCAACAGGGATGATCGCGGCATCCACGCCACTCTTCTTGAAGCAGATGATGAAGAGGACGGATGGCACTATCCCGCAGTTTTGTTGTTGGACCAGTGTTGTGCAGACGCAGACATGGAAATGTAGAGTGTTAGAGGTGGTCGTTACATCACAGGAGGAAGCCAAGAAGGAGGACAAGTACAACGTGGACATCCAGAAGATTGATGCTCACTGGCCAGCCCTGCTGTAATTGTTGGTGCTAGCGTGCATCTACGCTGGCTGTAAACGCGTTTAAGACCGGCTGCAGCCCAGAAGAAGACTTGCCCTACATCTCATGCTCTTGGTGCTCCCGACGGTAAACAGCTGATGTTCTGCGGCCGGCTGTGCGAGCGGATGCTCAGGATGCTCACGTGCGTGTGCCTATGCACCTGGAAAAACCACGCCTGGCTCCCCTGCATGATCTTGGGCTCGAATATACAAGCGCGGTTGTAGAGTGTTGTAGGGTGTACTGTAGAGAGCATTCGCTTACAAGATACATGCACAGCCCCAGACCAGACAGCCCGTTCGTGTATCTCCCGGTTGAATGTCTCAGTGTCGAGAACAAGCTCGGTGTTTCGTCCCTGTTTGATCCGAGCACGTTTTGAGCGGATCGCAACTCGGCGGCCCCTCTGTCCCGTATTTGAGCCAACATGTGCCGCTCGTAGCCAGGCTGCAGCGAGAGCTTGGCAAGATCTTCCAGGCCGGCAGCGGGCAAGCCTGGGCAGTATGAGGGGCTCAGGCTCAGGGATTCGGTGCAGAAAGGACCCCATGCGAGGTCCTCGGCCGTGGCATTAACAGACAGGATCCAATGTGCTTGGGCTGCCAGGATCCCAACAAGTGCATCGCCACGGAGAAGGAGATCCTGTCCATTCTTCCGATCAAAGACCTGCAGCAATGCGAGAACAGGCGGGCGTGGCCTGAATTCCTCGGAACCTTCAAAGCTCCTGCAATCGAGACGTGCCGAAGCTGTTTGCTGTGAATACCAGATATTCCATGTTCTCGGCCCCGTCTCGATTGAGACTTCTGCATGGGAGGAAGACGTGCAGCCGTGCACCTGTGCGAGGCTTGTGCAGGTGCTGCAGTACGAGAACTTCGAATTCACGAAGCTGCTGCTGAAGAACAGACTGAAGATCTTGTGCCCGTCGTTTAGTCCAACTGTAAGCCCGGCCGAAGCTTGGTTCCCGGGCTACGGCCCGTGTCCGCCAGGGCTTTTCAGAGATCTTCCTTCACTCCCGGATACCACGAAGCAGTCTAACTCGCCGGAAGAAGAATGAAAGAGCGACCTCTGGCAGGTACTGCACCCGTCTGGGTCAGGCACAGACCGAGGAGGACAAGACGGCTGTACTCGAAGACATGCGAAACACCCCAGAAGCGCAGGCGGTGCTGGAGGCCGGAAGGGAGAGGAAGGAAGAAGTCCTTGATCCGAGAATTTTCGGGATCGAAGGAATCGGGGACCAGTTTTTACGGGCATCCCTTTCTGCAAGGGTCCAATGTGCTCGGCTTCGGTTGCCTGAAACGCTGAAGATGACAGGAGCTGGACAAGGCTTCAAAGAAGCGGGACCGTGAGCACGACATCAACAGGCCCTGCCATGACTGCAGCTTTGCTTCCTCAAGCATGTGAGCTGGGAGCTCTCAGATCGAGCACAAGGTTTCAGCCCAAATCTTATGTGTCTCAACCTCTGTGGGCCCAAGAGATGCTGCCCAGGGATCTGCGGAAGGAGGTGCGACAGCTGCAGCTGAGAGGCCATGGAACTCTGTGAGCTTCAGGGTTGGAAGCGAGGGTTCTATCGGAAGCTTCGGACTCAGTTGTGCTCAGACAGCATTCTTGAGTTGTGGCGCGGGAAGGCTGCTTTAAAGCGCTGTGTTTAGGCTCGGGTTTCACGTGCCACCATCTCTGTGGGAGCAGGCATGCGAGAGAAGGAGCGCGGCATGGATGACGAAGGCCTGGGACGTTGAACGGCTCAGAGTCTAGGCACCGCTGTGTAGAGAATTTCTCCATTTTGCTCGAAGCCTGAGCACGAATCCTTCAGGATTACCATGCGGATACTGTCCCATACATTCTGCAATGGTCGCTTTCATCTTATGTATCGTGTTCACCCGCCCTCACCACCATCACAATTTCCACCACCACCACCACCGCCATAGCCGCAGCCGCGGCTGCCACCCCCCCCAACGCCACCACCAGCACTCCTTATCTTTTGTCCACAAGAGAGTTACTGTCGTCACGGCGGTCATCGCCAACCACTATGTCGACAGCAGCCAGAACCTGACGGCGACTGCTACTGTGACTATAGTGACTATAGTGATGGCCACAGCGATCACGAGAAGGTTTTCTTTTATTCACTGGGTGGTGTTGGTGGTGCTGATGTGGTGGTGGTGATGTTGAATAGGAGTGGTGAATCATGTTGTTTTTCGTAGCAGTTTCACAAAGGAGATACCCCTGATTCGAGGCCAAGCGCTGGGAGGCCGAAGCCGGGCCAAGGTGGCTGAGGAACAGCAGAGAGCTCGGAGCGGGCGTTTGGGGATTTGCGGAGCAGCGTCAGGGCCGTGGGCTGTGGGGGGTTTGATTTAGACATTAGCGCTTCGTTCGCAATTCGGAGCCTGTGCGGTTTGAGATGTTCGGCGGTCCTTGGCCGAGGCAGAAGAAGCCTTCGCACATGCTGGACTTGGACAGCTTGTCTTTTGCACGTGGTCCGGAGCCTACTTCAGCAGCCATCGGCCTTAGCAAGTCCTTGCCCGAGAAAGTTCGCTTCTGGTTTGAACTGTTTACGTCGACCAACGTGCAAGGCAGCCACTTCATGGCCAACGCGAAGTGTCAGTTGCCGACTGGCTCCTTCCGTGTGCAGAAGAAGGCATTCGGCTGAACGTTATCGTGCCTGCCGAAACCACCGTTAAAAGAGCAAACGAAGAAGCGGAGCTTCTGCCAGGGCTACGAGGAAGTCCATGTCAAGCCTTTCAAGCACCCTGACATCACCCCGGACGAGCTCATCCCACTGCCGCCCGGCGAATCCGAGAGATGTTAGCCTTCAGAGCCCAGTAGTTACTGGTCGATATCGTTTTTCTTTGGTGGAGCTCCGGGGGGAGCTCAGAGGGAGAGAGCTCCCCGCATCCCTGGCGGTTCTTCTTCTTGACCTGGTCTCAGGTCAAAGCTCCCCACGTGGTGCCAGGAAGCCTTCCCAGGAGCGACCAAGTTGAACACGGTGCAGAGCAAGGCCGGGCGGCTAAGCTTTTCTACGTTAAACATTCTAGAATGCAGGAAGCCAAATCATGGGAGCAAAGGTAGATGTAAGTTTGAATAAACAGGAAGCACATGGAAAAAAGAAAGGTTGATCGCCAGAAGTAGCAAAGATGTAAGCGACAGCTAGCTGCGGTAAACGATAGATGAAAGGTAGGCAACGGGTAACTACACGGTACATGAAGGTAAACAAAGGTAACTACAGCCCAAAAGAACAGCAGCTGTTTGGATTTCTTTGCCTACTTCTGGGCTGTTGCGATTACTGCTACGTACAACATATCTTATCTTTGTTTGACTGTTGGCATTATTCTACTTGCTTGAAGTGATTCTGTTTGCCTTTTGTGTACCTGTCACTTTGCCTTTGCTTTACATTTTTGTATGTTGTTTTTATTTTGCACTTACTTTCAAGCTGGTATCGGTGTCACTTTTGTGTTACCTTTTGATCGGACTGTTTGGGTCCCCATGGGAAAGGCCCTTCTAACCTGAATGATGAGAGACGGGCTTCGCAAGATACTATGGTCTGATCATGTACAGACTACGAGGTACGTGATTTCGAGTTGTTCCGATTTCCTGTATTCGGTAAACCCCGAGAACCGTTGGTGGGCCAAGTAGAGAACGGCAAGAATGGCAGTGTAGCAAAGCTGGGGCCAGGCAAGTACACGGAAGCTGCACCCAATTCCGGACGATTTCAGAGCACGTGCTCTCCTGCTGCCGGCCAGGTCTTCCCAACAGCCTTCCAGGAGCACAACGAGAACATGCTGGTCCCGGCCCCTGAGATGCTGTCTCGCTGGAAGCTTGTGCCACTATCTTCACCGCTGCCTCGCCTTGAGGTCTGCGCGCCGACGGGCAGTGGGAAGACAAACGTGGCCATGCTCACGATCTTGAATGTCATGAACCAGTTCCGCTTGAAGGCCCTTACAGTTGGATCGGGCAAGCCGGAAACGGCACAGCCTCAAGCACGTGACATCAGAGGATGGTTCCTTCGATCTGGCGGGCTTCAAGATCGTGTACATCGCCCCCATGAAGGCAGAGGGTCCGTAGACGTTGAATGTTGCAGGGCATGGTCTTCGGATGATGGATGTCCAGCCAGCCTTATACAACGGCTGCACACTTCACTGAAACCCACGACAAAAAGTTCATTTCGAAAGACGAGGCCCTCCAATTCTCCAATCCCGTTGCCAAGGCCCTGGTGCAGGAGGTCGTGCAAAGCTTCACCCAGCGCCTGGAGAAAGCCTACGGGGCTCGGGGCCTGAGAGCGCGCCATTTTCAAGCTTTTGGTCTTCTGAGAAGGGGCCTTCGGTCCTTCGGTTCAGGTCACGATCCGAGAGCTGAGTGGCGATGTGAACCTCACGAAGGCTGGGGCCCGGGGCGAAAATGCATCCAAAGCCCCACGTTTGCTGAGCCCCACCTTGCCAAGCATCTTCGCAGAGGCGCAAATCGACGAGACGCAGATCATCGTCACAACGCCAGAGAAGTGGCAGACTGAGTTAAACAGAAGCCCCGCTTGAATATTTTGTCACTGCAGCATGGGCTGGTGATCTCTCGCCGGCTGATCGGCACTTCAGGATTCCTAGTTGGGGGCTTCAGGGAGGAAGTTTCTTCCTGTTCTCGTAAGGTGGGATATCATCACGCGCAAGGCCGGCGATCAGCGTGTCGCCCTCAAGGTTCTGAACGTTTCAGATCCTTGCAGGGTTAGTATCAATGGTCTGCGTTGAGAGTGGACTCCGCAGGTGCCTCTGCTAGGACCTGCTAGGACAGGTCGACGAAGGGTGGATGGCCAGATTACGAAACAAATTGTCCAGACCCTTGCGAGGCTTCTTGAGGCACAGTCTCTCTGGCCCAGGCGCATACACGCAGCTCGTGCGTCTCGTCATCATCGATGAGTCCAGTCCTCGGCGATGGTGGCATCAACGCACATCGAGCTGAGCGATAGCGGAATAACTAAGCCTGAAGCTGCGACACTTGACAGTGCCTCGAATGTAAGAACTTCCAGCTAGAGACACGCTTCTTCCGACATCGCATGACATCCTGCAAAACTCTCTGACCAGGCAGCCAGAAGAGCAGTAAAAGCAAGTGGCAACTAGCAAGCGCGTTAAGCTGCCCGCATGAGCCCAGGATTCATCTGCTCCACGACAGCCGTGGACCAGTGCTCGAGGCGATCGTGGCCCGAACCATCCGACAAATCGAGACGACGCAGGACACGGACAGCGAAGCTTAAGCGCTGGCGACACTAAGCTCCTCTAAGCTAGAGTCAGAGCTTGGGTCGTGGTGACTTCGTGACTTCGGCCCGGTGACAGGAGCACATCCGGCTTGTGGGTCTGTCAGCGACGCTGCCCAACTACGAGGACGTCGCCATCTTCCTGCGGGTGCCGGGCTCAAGCCGCGATCTGCCTCTGGCTCCGCGGGTCCAAACCTTGCAGAGGTGAACCCGGAGAAGGGTCTCCACTACTTCGGCAACCACTACCGCCCGGTGCCCTTGGAGCAGACCTACATCGGTGCAGACCTCGTCTGGCTGTGTGGCTGTCAAGAGAGGAGTCTGTGGTCGAGACGGTCCGAAGCTGGTCTCGCCGTCTGCCCCGAGGTGTCACGGACAAGAAAGCCATCAAGCGCTTCAACACCATGAACGAGGCGGTGAGTTTCAGGTAGTGTTCAATTTCAACGAGCACCTGCTACAGTACATGGGCGCCGGTCCAAATTGATTCCATGAGATGCTTTCCCAAAGAGACTTTGGCGTGTTTTCACTGACAGTCTCAGCTTCAGGACAAGAAAGCTGTGACCATTTGTGACCCTTCAACATCTGCAGAGGTTTGCTACGAGAAGCTAATGGAGAACGCCGGAAAGAATCAGGCCAGAGCCCCGGGATGTCAGGAACCTCGAGATGAGCCTTGTGTTGCGAGGTCCTCATCTTCGTCCATTCCCGCAAGGAGACGGTGAAGACGGCCTGGGTCTGAGTCGGTCTGAGAGGTGTCCGGGACTTTGGGGCTTCGGCCCTTGCCAGGCTTAGTTCGGCCCGGTGAAGCCCTGACAGCCCCGACTGCTCTGCCCTCTGCCCCTGTTGAGGCACAGACCCTCCGTGACCTGGCCATGCAAAACGTGCTTCGGCGGCTAAAGCCTTCGGCAGATGAGCTGTCGAGTTTGACGATTTTCAAGCCGTGACAGCTTCAGGTATCAAGGCTTCAAGAGTCTTTCTTGTCTGTGAACACCGGCAACCGCATTACAGACAGTTAAGGACACTTTGGCCAAGTTCTTGCAAGAGGATTCCGCCTCCAGAGAGATTTTGCAGACAGAGGTGCTGTCGGGTTTGTACAATCAGCGTCGCTCCGTGGGACAGATCCGAGTGCCAGCCTGCAGGCCCAGCAGATGAAGACTCCGGAGGCAAGGCGTGAGCAGAAATGAGAGAAGCCTTGAGTTGTCCTTTCTGGACAACTCGCAGGTGCAAGACCTGCTTCCCTACGGCTTTGCCGTGCACCACGCCGGGCTGCCGAGAGCCGACCGAAAGCTCGTGGAGGCGGGGGTGGCCCAAGAAGCTCCCGAAAACTCGCAGAGCTGTTTCGACCCCAGAGACAGGACTTGTACGCGGATCGCCACATCCAAGTCCTGGTTTCCACTGCCACGCTAGCGTGGGGTGGGAGGCCAAGCATCATGGGAGTCGACTTTGCCTGGAGATCAAGTCCTCCAATTTCGATCTGAATAGGAGCCCTCGCGACTTGAACCACTTTTCCCACTTCCCTGACCTCTCCTCGCTTCACACGCCGACGTTCAGATTCAGTTTTGTCGCGTCGAACCCTGGGGATTCCATCAGCTCAAGTCTGGAGTCGAAGCTTTGGGCTGCTGTGACGTGCCGGCAGAGCGATGCCTGCAGTGTCCCGCATGCGTTTGCGCAACCGAGGTGTGAACCTGCCGGCCCACACGGTGATCATCAAGGGCACACAGGCCGCTCAGGGTGAGGCTACACGTCGGGAGCGGTCGAGTGCCAGTGCACATCAGGTCTACAACCCGCAGAAGGGCGCATGGGATGAGCTCTCTTCAATGGATATGACTTTTGTCTGCAAACTTGCCCGGCAAGCAGGGGCTATAGATAGATCTTCACTAGAAGGGTTTGGGCGAAGGCAAGTGAGATTTTCATGCGTCTAGCTACCTTTGTGCTCCGTCGGAGTCTAGTCCAGCATTGCGGGGTCTTGATCCCACCAGCACGCCACTCCGCCCACCGACTTGGATATTGACTTTCTCGAGCTCCGAGGATGCAGATGCTGGGCCGATCCGGCCGGCCTCAGTACGACAAGACGGGCCACGGCATTGTGATCACGCAGCACAGCGAGCTTCAGCGCCTTGGCGAGGAGAGCCCAGTTCGAAGCAGGAAATCGTGGTGTCTAGTTGTCCACAAATCTGGTCCCGAGGTATTACTTGTCCCTGATGAACCAGCAGCTTCCGATCGAGTCACAGGCCAACTTCGATGCGAGCCTCTGTCGTCTCTGATCGCCCGAGCTTCCTTTACTTATGCTCGGAACAAAGTCCAAGTTGTCCCTGCTATGACTTCAACGTTCCTCGCCGTCCCACATGTCCAGGACCTTAGGACCGCACATCAGAGTTTCAACGGGCTCCTTGCGGGGTTTGGGCGCCGAAGACCCAGGCAAAAACGAAGCTTTCAAGTTCATCGGCGGCACGAGGAGATATTAAGAGTTCGTGGAGCTGAGGCGAGCGATCCTATTCGGCAATACACGGTAGGCAAAGCGGCACACGGCAGCACGTGAACGCAGAAACGGAGCACATGCGGCTTTGAACCTCGGCCTCACTGAAGTCACCCTCAGCCGTAGAATCTTTACCATCGGTGGCAGGCCGTGGTCACTTGGGTACGATCGTAGCAAACGAAGTAGGAAGGGATGATGTAATGCCACTAGCAATGTCAAGGAGAGCGGGAAAGCTGAGCGAGGTGGTTAGCCAAGCATGATACTACAAGATACGACATTGAGGATCTTGACCTGGATCAAGAAAACTTCAGTGTTGGTGAGAGTTCGTGGAAAGCCAGCAAGCCTGGCACGCACCTCACTTCTGGAAATGATGGGTCGCCCGAACATGTCACCTGTGAACCGGGAGTGGGAAGGCGCGTGTGAACACGCAGTCGGGCCGTGAACTCCCATAGTCGATGATGAGTTCGTAGATCCATACGAACGCAGAGGTACGGGTCAAGGTCTGCCATCAACAGCTCGACTCGGGAAGCTTTCTTTGGCCTTGATGGCAGGTGCTGAGTGTCCTGCCGGACATGGTGAACGCAGAGCTCGTGCTGGGGACCATCCAGACTCGGCAGGCCTTCGCACCATTGACGCTCAGATATCCTGACATTCAGACTTTGAAGTAGTCAAGGATGGGAGGGTGGGTTATATAGGTGCTTGTGTCTTTGCAGCGGAAGGTGGTTTTCAGGCAATGCGCCGGGTCTCGGGAACATGAGATATGAATTGCTCGGGCTGAGCTTTCAAGTAAGGCCTGACTAACCAAAAAGAACAGTGAAAAGGACGATGCCTCGGAATGGCCCGCGAACCCTAAGCAGCCAAGCTGGAGTGAAGGATGCTGTCAACTGGCTGGGCTACACGTACTTGTACGCGGTGGCCTCAGGAGTGCGTCCGCAACTCTCGAGGCCATGGAAGGACGCTTCCCAAGAAAAAGCCCTGAAACCCCAAGGCCCCCAGACGTCTGGGGGTCTTTTCAAAAGGAGCCGTGGAGCTTCGACCGAGGTGCGGATGATGCGGGCACCGAGGCCGGACGGCTCGAAGAGTCTAGTTAGATCCCTATAGGGGAGAGATGGAGAGGAGAGATGTCTGACGTCTCACAGGGTGTGTTTTGGGGGCCGTTTGGGGTTTGGGAGGCGCCGGGGCGCCTGTTCGAAGCTGGCCAGGCTCTACGGCATCTCGCCGGATGAGGCCGAGGAGGATCGGTTGCTGGAGCAGAGGCGAGTAGATTTGGCCCGTGCCCCAGGGCCCAGGGCCGAAGGTGCACAGACTGATGCGATGCCTCTGAGTGGAACGACCCTCGGAATGTGCCGAGATCCACAGCGCCTTGACAATGCTGGACAAGAACAACCTGATTAAGTACGACAAGCGTACGGGCCAGGTGCAGGCGGCGTCTCCGCGCTGCAGACATGCAGCCCGATGCTGCTTTTTTGCTCTCCATGCCCAGCACAAGCAAAGCAACGGATGCAGGTCACTGCCCTCGGGCGGGTAGCCAGTGTGCCTGGCATGTTTTACCGTCGGGTTCACCCATACAACCCTTTCCAACTGCCGGCGGCAAATCATTCATTGGAGTGAGAACTGTCTTGCGATGTTGTCTGTCAAGCATCTTCGTATCTTTCAAGCTGTTTGTTGCTGTTGGTTTTCGGTCAGGCCACTACTACATTCAGCACCCATCCATTGCGACGTACAATGACCATTTGCGGCCCATGATGTCCGACATCGAACTGCTGCGTCTGTTCTCGCTCTCTCATGAGCCCGGAGCTCGGCTTCAATGCTTCGTCGGTTGGGTGCCAAGAAGTATGATCAGCTTTTGAGGTTCAAGTACATCCCGGTCAGAGAGGAAGAGAAGGTGGAGATGTGGCGCCGTCTGATTGGGCAGCACCATCGTGTGCGTTTGTGCGCTACTCGCAGCTTCTTGTCTTTGCCAGGCAGAAGCTGGTGGAGCGCGTCCCCGTGCCCGTGAAGGGTAGCACAGACGAGCCTTCCAGCAAGGTCAATGTGCTCTTGCAGGCAAGGGGGATTGAGTCTGTAAGTTCGTTATGGTATCATGAATGTGTCGACACTGCATCGACGAGTGTTGTCTCCCGATTACACGTTGAAGCTTGAAGGCTTGGGTTTTGGATGGTCTTGGGATGTCTTGGGTTCTACGAAGGCCTACATCTCGAAGCTGAAGTTGGAGGGCTTCGCGTTGATGTCCGACATGGTCTACGTCACTCAGCTGCAGTCCGTTTGCTTGGAACCTGCCGTGCCGCGGCCATCTTGGGCCGTTGCTCTTGTTGGAACAGAGACCACAGATGGCCGTGCCGCTGCCTGTTGTTCTGACAAATTCCGAGCTCTGAGACCTCGAGGTTCAGCAGTCGGCGGGTCGAATCATGCGGGCCATCTTCGAGATCTGCCTGCGGCGAGGTGGGGATCCACGTGTTCGAACAGAGCGCTTTGACAGGCTGAAGGGGAAATCCTGACTCGCGAGATTTACATGACATGCTGACGTGCTAGCGAAAGCCGAGACCCTGAAGCCGTTGCATTTGCCGACAAGGTTGGGCCGCCCTGGCACTCCGGGCACTGAACTGGCCGTGGCCCCACCAGGACATTCGAGAGCTTGAGACAGAAATTTGAGCAGTGCATCCCTGCAGTGTCGTTGCTGCACCGCAATGCTTTTCAGAGTTTTGTTGGCTTGAGTTGGGCGGGTGTAGGTGTCGAAGAGCTCAGCAAGACAAGGCTAACATAAACTTCGGGTGCGAGCTTGCGCCCATGAAACAAAGCTTACTCTCACAGCCGCAGCACGCAAGCAGAGTCATTGCACAGTCGGGAAGGCCACGGATGGCCGCACAACTCGTCTTGGGATGATCTAATGAATCTACTGTATTCTCCCCGGGCTTAGGTGCAAGATGATCGACAAGAGGATGTGGGCCAGCCAGACGCCCCTGCGCCACTTCAAGGCATGCCTCGCGAGATTGGTAGCCGTAGCAATTGGCAACCTGTTCGAGGATTTCGTGAGTCCTATGTCCAGATTAGTGAAACCATACAGCGCAAACTTGCTCCCTCGGATCTCATGGCTTGGCCCAGTCGGGGAACAGTGACATGTGCAGATGTAATTGCATGAGCAATCCATGGACACCATTCCACTTTGCATGCTCGGCCACGCATGATGCAGCCACACAGTGACCGGGTTGTCATGCAACATGAATATCCATGTGCCTGGCACCTTTGCATTGTTTCTTGTACCAGGGTCTGGCAGAAGATATCCTGCGAAAGGTCGAGAAGAAGGCAAGAGTGTTGTTTCCGTTTACAGTTGCTTAAAGACTGCTGCTGATTGTCGACATTCCTCTAAAGGGCCAACTTCAATTGTGTACGAGGACTTTGCTTGGGAGCGCTACTATGACCTGTCGAGCGCAGAGATCGGTGAACTCATCAGATTCCCGAAGATGGGTGAGGGCCTTGTCGGTCAGACGCGAAGACGCCGTAGCATTCACGAAGCCAGTCGTGAGTACACTGGATTCGTCTGAGACGTTCTGACGGAGACTGACCGGAGTTGTAGGAGAAGAAAAGTCGTGTGAGTCGAGCGGATATCCCGCGACAGCAAGTCCGGATGCGTTTCTTACAGAACGGGAGGTCAGGTGTGCAACCGAGAGACAAGGTGCAGACTGAGAGTGGGCGCTTCCCACCCGAGGCAAAACCATCCACAAGCTCGTGCATCAGTTCCCCAAGTTGGATCTCAGTGCATACGTGCAGCCCATCACGCGCTCCTCTGTTGCATGTTGCGTGCTGCATATTGCATGTCGGGAGCTGGCTTTGGTCAGTCTCCGAGTTTGTAAGACGTGTAGGGTCAAGCCCTGAGATCGAGCAGCTCCAGCTCCAAAAATCTCGACGATCCCTCTGCGCAGTCGTTTAAAGCCGTGTGTTTACCCGAGAACATCGAAAACCCCCGAGTTTCTCAAGGCTCCTGCCTCATGGTGGAGCTCACCATCACCCCCGACTTCCAGTGGGACCCCAAAGTGCACGGTCGAGCCGAGCCATTCTGGGTCTTCGTGGAGGCCCGGGTCGCTGAAACGCTCCGAAGCCCGGCCCAGTGGTCCAATCCAAGCCCCGACGTTTTTCGCGACAGGACGTGAACGGCGAGCAAATCCTGCACCAGGAGATGTTCGTGTTGCAAGAGCGTGGTGCTGAGGAAGAGCACACCCTTAACTTCACGGTCCCCATCACGGAGCCTCTGCCGCCGCAGCACCTTGGCGAATTCGGCTTCCTCGGGCTTGGGGTCTTGGGGTCCTGACACGTCGGACACTTGTGTCAACCTGTGGCGGCCTTTGAGGTACTTCATCCGGGTTGTCTCCGACAGATGGATCAACGCGCAGACGTTGCTGCCCGTGTCTTTCCGACATCTGATCCTGCCAGACAAATACCCGCCGCACACGGAGCTGCTTGACTTGCAGCCTCTGCCGTTGACGGCCCTGCGATGTCCCGATGCTGAAAAGCTCTATGCCGCACAGGGGCTGAAGGTCTTCAACCCGATTCAAACGCAGACATTCAGTATGCTTTATGCCAGCAACGACAACGTGCTTGTTTGCGCTCCTGCGGCCAGTGGTAAGATCATCTGTGCTGAGTTTGCTGTCCTGAAGATGCTGACTTCAGACGATCCTGCAACTCGTCCCAGAGCTGGCATCCTTTTGCTCCACGCTGTCGGCCTCGCCTCTACTCAGTTTTATTTTGACCACAGATCAAGCTTTGCAAAAGATGCAGATCCCCAATGTATCTATCTAGGTCAAGCGCTGTGTCTACGTGGCACCGCATGCCTCCACGGCGCGTGAGCGATTCAACGAGTGGTCTTTCAAGTTTGGCAAGACTATGGGCTACAAGGTGGTGGCCTCTGTCGCCCATCTCTACCTACCATTTACACGTACCTACACATACCTACACCCTTTAAGGCCCCGGTCCGTGGACCCCTTTCCCGTTGAGGGGCCGAAACCCGAAGCATCCCGAAGCTCTGGGGCTACACGGACCCCTTGTGTCCCAAGTTCAGCGCAGAAACGCAGCCTCTAGCCGCTCGCCCCGCGCTCGGAGAGAACTAAGAAACGACAGGTCGCAGAGCTTGTGGGAGAGACGACCAGCGATGTGAAGATTCTTGAAGATTCTCATGCTGCCTGGCCACGCATTCAAGTCTTTCGCGCGCTAGTCATGCCGTGACCCGCAGCCCTGAGAAGGCTCTGAAGATCCCGATGCCCCCAGAGATGTAAGGTTATCATCACCACCCCGGAGAAGTGGGACTTGATCAGCCGGCGCTGGAAGACGCGAAAGAGCCTTGGTCGAGCTGGTTTGGTCAGGGTAAGTTCGGGTTTCAGAGATGTGAGATGGAGCCAAGATCCCTGTCAGAACGATTGTAACCGTCGGAAGATCTCCAGGAGCGTGCAGGAGGTGCGACTCTTCGTAGTGGATGAGCTGCACTTGCTGGACAGCGACGTAGGGCCGACGCTGGAAGCGGTGGTCAGCCGCATGCGCTACATCTCCGTGCAGGTATCCTACTCCGGGGACTTGGGGAGAGTGGGAGAAAAGTTTCTGTCCATAGTTTCGGCAGTGTTTGGCCAGTCGAGGGTCCTGGGAGAAGGGAGCATCTCCGGGTGTTGTAAGCTTTCCGTTGAACCATAGTGCCATAGGCCCCCCCTCCCCGTTTGGAGATTTTATCAGGTGCAGTCGCCGATCCGCATCGTGGCCTTGGCAGCTTCCTTGGCTAACGCCAAGGATGTTGGTGACTGGGCCGATCTTGTCGGAGGCCTCTCCCTCTCTCCCAAAGAGGCTCTCCCAACAGTCTGTGTGGCATCGTTGAGCCCAGGTGAATGGATTGGTGCGGGCAGCAGCGGGCTCTTCAACTTCTCGCCGAATGTGCGAACAGTGCCACTGGAGCTTGTCATTCAGGGCTTCGACATCCATCATCGATCCACTCGCCTGCTCGCCATGAGCCGACCGGTACCTTGACAGCGATGTTTGCACCGTGACATAGCGGAGACATGAAGACATCAGGGTTTTGGAGAGGCACCATGGCACGTGCCACACAGAAGTCGAAACTGTCGGAGGTTGGATGCACATCGGACATCCGCCTTTCAATAGGTCTTGTTTGGTACACAGCCTAGGTGTACCAGTCCATCAAGCACTACTCTCCGGAGAAGCCTGTGATTGTCTTCGTTCCCGATCGGAAGCAGGCACGTATGACAGCCATCGACTTGCTGCTGCACGCCGCCTCCGATGACAAGCCGAAGAGGTTTCTGCATGCCTCTAGGCTATTCACTCTAAGCTGTTGTCGGAGGCACACGGTGCCTGCGAGCAGCCAAGGTGCCAGATGATGCCATGCGCCCTCATCTAGCGGCCGCAAGAGAGAAGTCCCTGAAGCAGACACTGGAGTATGGCGTAGGCTTCCTGCACGAGGGCTTCAGCCAAACAGAGCGGGCTGTGATCGAGCGCTTGTTCGAGGCGGGTGCAATTCAGGTCTTAGTGGCCACGGAGCAGCTGTGCTGGGGCATGACAATGCTGGCACATCTCGTGGTCATCATGGACACCAAGAAGTTCGATGGCCGCGAAAACAGATACGTTGACTATCCCATCCATGATGTCCTTCAGATGATGGGACGAGCAAGCCGACCTGGCATCGATCAGTCCGGAATGGTCGTGTTGCTGACTCAGAACTCCAAGAAGGAGTACTACAAGAAGTTCATCTATGAGCCTTTGCCTGTCGAAAGCCATCTCGATCAGCGAATGGCCGACCACATGAATGCAGAAATCGTGATGAAGACCATCGAGAACAAGCAGGACGCTGTCGACTGGCTCACATGGACGTTCTACTACCGCCGCCTCTCCCAGAATCCCAACTACTACGGTCTGCAGGGTGTCACTCACCAGCACTTGAGTGACCATCTGTCGGAGGTGGTGGAAAACACCGTAGAAGGCCTCGAACGCTTCGGCTGCTGTAGCATTGAGGATGCTTGGTTGCCGCAGAAGCAGTAGCTGGTTTTATTTTGATTGGTCTCTCTTCCTATGCAGGGGCCGAAAGGCGGTGTATGAATTTCAACATGCCTTCTCTGACTCTTTCCGTGTGTGTTTACTCTCGAAAATATGAGGACGATGTGGATCTGGCCCCGGCAAACCTGGGTCTCATCGGTGCGTACTATTACATCCGACACACGACCATCGAGACCTTCTCACGATGTGTCATTGGGCTGCATAGGTAGCACCTGCTTCTTTCTCTAGGCTCCGTGTCGCTATGCCCTCCGTTCCGCGGGCGCCTCAATCTTAGGTCAACGAGAGCACCAAGCGCAAGGGTCTGCTGGACATCCTTTGTGCAGCCTCCGAGTTCGATGCGGTGCCTGTGCGGTCAGGCGGATGTGCTGAAACTGCAGCATTCGGATCTTCTGTGGACACTTTAGCACCTAAGAAAAGTCCATCGGGGTTTCCAGGCAAGGGCCAGCAAGGGCCAGGCGAAAGTGATGGCTCCTGTGCTCAGGCGAGGAGGCGACGTTGTACGGCTTGGCGCAGTCGCTGGGCATGAAGGTCGACAAGGACAAGTTGAATGATCCACACACGAAGGCGCAGCTGCTCCTCAACGCACACTTCACCCGCAGCCCGATCACCACAGACTTGTCCTCCGACCAGAAATTTATCTTGGAGCACTCGGTGCGCTTGTTACAGGGCCTGGTGGATGTGATTTCCTCTTGTGGCTGGCTGACCCCGGCTCTGTCTGCCATGGAGCTATCACAGATGGTGGTGCAAGCCACAACCTCGACATCGAGTCCCCTTATGCAGCTGCCCCACTTCACACCTGCGATGGTGGAGAAAGCCAAGAGCCTCGGTCACACGAACCGGTGAGAACATGATAGAACATGTGAGAACATGTTACTGTTGTCTTTCGTGACAAGGGGGCCAGGGACCATAATGTGAAAGTGTAGGGGCCTCCAATTCTCATGCTTCAGTCTATGGCTATGGCTTACTGGCCGCTCAGGAAGATGAAAGTCGAAGACATCTTCGACGTAGAGCTGCCATGTTTTCCTCGGCTTCTGATCCAACTCTCTCCGGTCTGTCTCGTGGTGAGTGTGTGTGTGTGTGTCTGCGCACCGTCCTGGCACATGAATTCGGAGGGTCACATGTTTCTAGTTTCCGCAACACGGCCTTGACGTTTTCGGAGCAGCTCCCCTGCGATGTGGGGGGGAAGAGCGTGGGCGGCTGCAGCTACTGCTGCTAGCCACTTCCATTCCATTCCATCTTCCACAACCAGATTGCGTTTCAAAGGTTGCTGGGGCACGGCATCCATGATCCACCATGTGCAACCAATCTCCGGCAGCGGATAGGATGCACCTCCGACACGGATGAGCCTGCCACTCGTGCCATCCGGATTAGAGGGTGGGCCCCCTGTCAACGCGATCAGCTTTTTCTCGAATTCATGGTTGCTTCAATCTGCCAAGCCGGCTCCCACGGTTGGATTGCAGCAAGAATAAGCGCAGCCTTTCCGAGCTGCGGCAGAAGAGCGAGGGCAGAAATGTTCGTCCTCTCAAGGGCATGCATGTGTGTACACGCGCGCGCGCATATGCGTGTGCGAGTGCGTTTGGGTGTTGAGGTTTGTCTGCATGTCAGTCTGTCTCTCAAATCATTTTTCCTGTGTTTGATGTTGATAGTTTTTTTTTTTTTTTTCCTCTGTTGTTTGTTGCAGGCGTCTCTCTCTCTCTCTGTCTATCTCTCTCTCTGTGCACGTTGTCCCCCGCTCTGCCGTGATCTTCACATGCGCGATGCAGGTCATGGGCATGGATGATGGCCCACGTGACAAGCTGCTGGACGGTCTGTCTCAGCTGGCATCTCAGCCTGCCTACTTATGGATGCGCTACAGGGAAGAAAGCCCTCAGTTCAGTCTGTGCTTGTGGATACACAAGAGCGGTGCAAAGGTCGCAGCTTGCTGACGTCGCTAGAGCCTGCAATCGCTTCCCTGGCATTGCCTTGGAGTACAAGGCCAGAAGCTGAGATACACAGATGTCGGGGAAGTCCTCGTGCTGTTGTGATTGCATCGATTGTCGCAAATCTCGCCCAATAATCTTTTTGAATGTAACCAGGAATAGCCGAAGTTCCGGCCGCTTCATACAAGCACTGTTCCTTGTATCGATCATCATTTGGCACATCTCCTTGTCTTCATCAACGGGCACCGCTAGGTGCAGAACTCAGACGCGCTGACAGCTGGCGGCAGCGCAAAGATCTCGGTGAAGCTTTCTAGGGAAGCCATGGAGGACTGGTCAATGTTGTAAGGTGAAGATGCAAGCGACCCCAATCCAGGAAGCTTTTCCCGTGCTGTGGTCCTGGTAGCATTCCTGTGCAAGTTTGCCATGTGTTTACTGCATTGGTTATTTGCTGGACTAGACCGCAACGCGCTTCTGCCGAAGGAAGAGGGTGCAACTGTCGGCCCAGTGTACGCCATGTATTACCCGAAGGCTCGCTTGTGTCATCTTGTGTCGCTGGATTGGGCGTCGAGCGTTTGACTGCCACATTAAAGATTTCGTGTCACGGTGTCGTCAGATGCTGCTGAGAATGCCCGTGTCGTGAGTGCATGATCCGTGTCCTCACCCTGAAGCTCCTTCCTGATGCCTCTGCAGCCTTGCTTTCTCGAACATGTTCGCAAGAGTTTGCCACGACGGACATCTCTCAATGCTTCCGTGCTTCCGTCCTCGTGCCCTGAATGTCCTGGCGTATTCAGGAGAAGGAGGAAATCTGGTGGCTGGTGGTTGGCGGTCCGAAGAGCGCACTGGCGGGGCTCCAAGGATTGGCGCCAACGTGGAGTAAGCGAGGGCCATGATGTTTCTTTTATTCGAGCACTATGTCTTCTTAAGCTTCTCCAAGACTCGACTCCTCGAAGCTCGCGCCCGAACTCGAAACTCTGCAGCCCTAATCCTCGTGCCGAGGTCGCGATCAAGCGAATCACCATCAGCAAGGTCAGCGCGCTCAGGGAACCGGTATCTGGGTTTCGGGTTTCAATTCAAGGCAGAGATGTGAAGACTCCTTTGTATTGCTGTTGCATGTCCACCGGCCTTGAATGTGATGTATGTGCAGCCGTTGCCATTTTTTGGCCCTTGAGCTGATTCGTGTAGCTTCGCAGTCAAAAGAGAACACCCGATTAATTTCAGAAGAGACTTCCGAAGCCCCGTGCAGATTCGTAGGCGTAGGGCGTAGGGGCGACTCCGAGCAGAGTGCGAGATTCGGTAGACGGCTCGCAAGAGGGCAGATCCTCCTCCTGCAGGCCGTTGCAAACGTGAAGCTCGAGATTGAGCTCGGAGAAGATGCCGGCAGCTTCGACTACACCCTGTACCTCATGTCGGACTCCTACCAGGCCAAGCAGTCTTAAACGCTCTCCCGAGAGCAGCAACCGAGCAGCCACGACAGTAAAGTAGCAACGACGGGTGCGGATAGTGCAGGGGAGAGGGCGAGCGAACACAGTACCAAGAGTACATGTTGCAAATGAAGAATCAGCAGGAACACTCGTAGTAATGGTGATTGCCATGCGTGTAGTAAGGGTAAGTAGGAGTTGGGACGGCATCAATGGTGATGTCAAGAAGCGTGTCCTAATAATCTTGACTGCAGCAGTCATTGCTAGTAGTGGTTGAAAAGCTGGACTATAATCACTGAAGCAGCAATCGCTGTTTATATGCAGAACAGTGGGAGGAAGTTTGAGTTGCGACTGAGTGGCGGCAATGTAGCATTGCATGCAGTATGCCAAATAGTCATGACCCGAGTAGTGGCGAATGCTGTCTCTCCGACAGGGCTGCGATCAGGAGTACAACTTCAAGCTCAACGTGAAGGCAATGCCGAGCATTGTCTTTTAGTCAGGTTCGAGATGTCTTGCAAGCTGTTTGGGACTTGATGCGTGCGGTGCCGATGTGCAGGACCACATGCTGCTCCTTCACGAGAATTTTCTAAGCAGCGAAAGATCTTGCCCGCATTTCTGTTTGAGGCGGCCCCATGAGCCTCGAGGTCGTGCAGCTGTTCGTCACGGCGCACTGACCTCCGAAGACCACGGCCCCTTCCTACCGCCAACAAGAAGCTCTGCTCTGCACAGATAACCCCAACAGTGATCGTATCTCCCGAACCCAATCTTTCCGACCAGACGTTTTGAGTTTTGTGCGTGCCTAAGCGGATGAAGAAGGGAACAGTCTCACTGACCCGCGGCATAGCCTGTGCAAGAGCAAAATTGTGGCGCGATGCTGACTCCCGTGCATGAGTGATCCGTGGTCAGAGTCGGGGAAGCTGAATCTGCGGCTGGCGTTGCATCATGGAGCACGTGCACCGAGAACTGCAGAAGATCGAGAGGCATGAGGCATGGTACTTCACGGTAGCATCCATGCGGTGGCCTTTTTCATGTCGATGCTTTTCCTTTCTTTTGTCACATGTGTTGGCATCGAAGAGGAGCTGGATAGGTCGAAAGCGCAGGACTGTCCAGGGAGGGTGCTGAGCGCCTCCCCCGCCCGCCCAGACCTGAGAGACTACGAAGTGGCCAAGCAGCATCTGCGAAGTGGCCAAGACGGCGCAAACCCAGACCCAGCAGAAGCCCAGCAGAGCAGAGTCCGAGTTGTGCCGGCTCTGTTCTCGAAGCCATTCTGCCACTGCCACGCTTCGCGAAGCTTCTGCGGTTGGCCTCAAGATGTCTACACAAACATGCACGGCTGCGGCTACAACCCGGACGTCCACGTCCGAGACTCCGATGGAGACATCCTAAGTAAGCCCCAAACCTTAAGATGCCCAAGGGATGCCTCCCCACGGCTGTGGGTACAGCACGCAAGACCGAGACTTCTGAAAAACGCTCCAGTCTCGAAATTCTGCGTTCGAGCCTCCATGCCACTGCGGATAATGCGCAAGCCATACACCCTCCTCCACAGCCTCCCGCACTGCCGGTCCCAGACAACGGTCGCCATAATAACTTCAAGCTCTATTACAGTCTATGGTACATGGTAAAACCTTGCGACAATAGCAGGATGTTAGGTTCAGGGTTTAGCGTTCGGTCAGGGGAAGGGGTCCTTGCCGCACGCATAGTCGGCTGCAGCACTTGGTGAATCGCCTCGCGGGTTTCGGCTCAGCATTTCTGTGACTCACTTGTTGGCAAACAGCTCTGATGCTGGCGCAAGGGTTCAGTTTAAGGTGAAATTGGAAGCTTGCCGACAACCATGATAAAGGATGTGCTCCGCTTTGGAATCTCCCAGTTTCATAGCAAGTCTTCTGCAGAAGTCGATGCAAACCAGCACGAAAGCGTGTTCCGCACTCTTCAGTGTTTGAAAGGAACTTGCATAGTCGAGCACGCATTGCAGCATGACCGCGCCGCCGGGCCTCTTCGCGTTCCTTTGCAATGGCAACTTCGGTGGACCGATGAAACGAGCGAAGGCGGGAAGTTCGGAAATTCAGCCTGGAGCCCAGGTTGGAGATTCGGAAGTTTCAGACACTTTGGGACACATTTCTCAGGAGCTGAAGGCTGACCTGCTGTGACCTGCAGTGTCATGCGGTTGTTTTCGGTCTTAGTTGCAAGCAGGCTGTCAAATTCACTTTGGGCCATACTCGAACAGGAAACCAGGGCCACAAGTCTTGGCTTTCCGTGCCTTGGAGTCGACTGTAAAGTTTGTAAAGATCAGAGGAGCCGTGTCAACTTTCCCTAGATATAGTTCTTCCAGCATAGACTACCCACCGTTCGTTCTCCATTTGTTAGTCTGCTGCCTGCCTTTCTGTTTCTATCCGCCATTAGCCTATTGAGATGCTAAGTTACACACCATATTGTTTACAGTTCAGTGGACTGCGACGTGCCAGTCTAATTCGGCTGGATTGTACCACATTTGGGGGGGGGGGGGATTCGATGCTGAAGCCGCATCTGTTCGACGGTAACGTCATGGGCGTGCAAATAACGAAAGCGCTTTTCGACTTTGGTGCTTCGCCCGAGCCGCACTCCACGTCAACATGAGTCTGTAAAGGAAAAGCTATCTTCTGGAACGCACTGCGGCATAGCGCAGCCAAGTGCACAGCAGGGCGCATCTTGGAGCCCTGAGCACTAAACGTGAGACACCAACACCGACACAGCTGACGACTGTCCCTGACAAGCCTTTGGCAGCTTGACTGCTTCTCAGTGTAATATTATGTCCACGGAAGAACCGCGAGAATCACGCGAGAATCACGCTAAGAGGAGAGGATGCAGATATCTTGGTTGTGAGCTCCGGTCCAGCATACCAACAAGCTTTGCAGGCAAATCCTTGTGTGCACGAGTCCTGCCTCTACGTCTACGGCGAAGATTCTAGGCATAATGCTGCTGCTAGATCCAACAGCTCCTTCATCCCATTTCTGAAGCCCCGGTTCTCCAAAGATCTGGAGGTAAAGGCCACAGGCTGAACCGTTTCAGGTCCTGCCTGATGCTACTTGGCTAAGATTTCGTGGACATGGTACAAGTGGCTCACAAAGCTGCACCTCTGCGGTTCCTGCAAAGATTTGCCTGTCTCTCCTCTTCTTCTTTCGTGCAGGCCGCAGCAATCAAGCAATGTGAAGGCAAGGAATGGGGTTGTCCCGGCATTGTCCTCGCGCGAGATTGAGATGAAGCAGACAAGCGGTATGCGAATTACGAAGCCTTTATGTAACGCTGTTCTGCACTTTGGTTGGGAATTGATGCGTGCGGTGCTGATGTTCAGGGACAGTTTCGTAGCATTTCTGGTTGAGGTGGGCCCATGAGCCTCCAGGTCGTCTAGCTGTTCGTCACGGCGTGCCGACCGAAGACAACGGGCCCTTCTACAGAAAGCTCTACCCACCGCAGGCACGTCTTTGACTCCCCCAACAGTTGCTGGTCATTTCTAACCCCAATATCAATCTAACTTTCTGAGTCGCGTGCGTGCCCAAGTGGATGAAGCAGGGAGCAGTCTCACTGACCCGCGACGCAGCCTGTGCGAGAGCAAAAAGCTGGCGCAATGCTTAGTGATTCGTTGGCTGCTTGAGTCATCTTGAGTCTGCGAGAGGGCCTTCCATCCAGTTTTGGTCAGTCGAGGGGAGCAGAATCCGCGCGGCTGGCAAGCTCGAGAGGCGTGAGGCAAGGTATTTCACGGTAGCGTCCACTCGGTCACCATGTCGAAGCTCTCCTACCGTTTTACCTTCATTGACATCGAGGAGGAGATGGGGTCAGACGCGCCTGGCCGTGCTGGGAGGGTGCGAGGCCCCCGGCCGCTGCTGGGCTTCCATCGCCCGCGCAGACCTGAGAGACCGCGAAATGGCCAAGCAGCATCTGCGCCGCCTGCAAGGTCACGTGGAAACGAACTCAGACCCAGCGGAAGCGCCCGCACAAAGCCGGAGTCGTGGCAGCGTGGGGCATCCCACTTTGTGTGCGAAACCATGTATTCAATTCGCACGGGGCCTTGGATGTCGGAAGGGCCGGGCCTGTGGCAACTGCCACTGGCCCCATCAACGTGTCCAACCCGATAAGCGCCAGCGCGAATTCAGCAGGACCTTGGGAAAGGAGGAGTTCTTCGGCCTCCTGGCCGTGCTCGCACGGGAGAAAGCGCTTGAGGATGGCCTCGAAGATGTGGGCTTCCTGCTTGCAGCGCCTGGGCGAAGAATATCGAAGCTGATCTGCTGTCAGCCACTGTCAGCCTGATGTGAGTCTTTTTCACCCAGGTGCTGGAGGTGCAGGCAGGGCTGACACCGCCCGCAGCGCCGGCGAAGCAGAAAGTTCGGCTGCTTTGCAACCTGCGGAAGGTGCCGCCGTGTGCTCGGCGAATGCGTGTGAATGTGTTCTGACAGCTTGAGCCAGGTCATCCAGTCCATGAGCTTCTCGGAGATGATTCGGATGGCTGCCGGGCGCTGTGGCGATGTTTGCAAGGCCCGTTTGCTGCAGGAGCTCACAGCGGTGAGAGAGCTCCGTAGGCCCTAGGCCACTTCCGGCT